AAAAACAATGTAACAGAGCAATTGTGATCTGTCGACTAGCCTGGCCAGCGAGGCGAAAATGATCGAGACAGTAATTCGTAACAAGTATCGATATCCTCACCAACCCAATCCTCCGATCAGTGATCAGACTAGTACGGGTGCTTGCTCGATGAGATCGGGGCCTAGCACGCGGTAAACGGAGAGAGAACGGCGTAAACTGTGTGGTCTGGGGACAAGCCGGATCGAACCAGAGTCCAGAGATAGCTCAGGCCAGGTCAGGACCAGACGAAGATCGGGTGTCTTCGACACGGATGAGAATCATTGAGATTGCTCACCGTATGTAGAGGAAAAGACAACAACGGCAGTCTTCTAGTGTGAGCATGACCCAACGGCGGATCAAGGCGTGTACCTTACAGTTGACCACGACTCCTTATGAATCGCTCACGCGCTGGGATCTGTTTGCCTTTCTACCCTGCACGTGTCGTTCGTGGCAAAGCTTACAGGTGTGATTTACTAGTGCGCTGGCCTGTAACTCCCGTTTCTAGCCTGTTTTCCCCGATAGTCGTGACTAGGAAGTCAAGGAGGCACGCTGGAGGTACAGCGCCAGCAATGCAGCGGGGGAAGTCATGGGGTTGTGATTGGAACTAGTGGCATCCATAGTAGAGTGTGGTCTAGCCTGTCGCGATCAAAGCGCGAGCGATGCTGATGTGCTTATCATGACTTCATGAACCCCTTGCACCACGACATCCTTGTCCTTGTGCGACGACAGAAGAGCACAGATGAACCAGAGATCCCAGAGTCCAGATACAACAATCAAAATAATAATAACAAATTTTCGAACAACCTCGGGACTTTCAATAGAGCACAGTCGGCGATGGCAAATACATATCAAAGTTAAACAAGAAACAAGGAATGCTCCAAGACGTCGATCACGGCTGCGAATAAAGGCTCATAGCATCGTCGACAGCGAGCGATTCGGGTCGGACATAGGTCTGTGTATATGATGGAGGATCTCGCTCCTCAGTGGTCAAGGGCTTCGCCGGCTGTGGTAGCTGTTCCGGACCGACCTCTGGCTGCAACGCTGGGTAATCCCTCCCCCCACTAGGGCCATCTACTGTGGACACAGCTCTTGATCTGCTCCTCGCGCCAGGCCGTCGAGTCGAACGGTCTTTGATCGTCTTAACGCTGTCAGCTCGCGCCGGCATGTCTGGCGTCTCTGGTTGTGGAATGAAGTAGCCCGATGGTACAACGCTCGTCGGAGTGGTTGCAATGCTGATATAGGTCAGTGCCGCGCTCGTCCGACTCGTCTCTGGTCCCGAACTTGGCGTTCTCGTGGATAATGTCACCGTTGACCGCGGTCGGATATTCGGAGGCAGAGGCGGAACAGGGGGGACGTGATTAAGGGGACATGAGACTCGGCTGACAGGGAGAACGGGAGTGGGAGGTGGGGCGGGTTGGGTGAGGGCATACATCCCCTTGATGTCGCGGTCCGAAATAGCAGGAGTTGGGAGACGCTGTGGAATTTTCACCACAAGACGAGGTGGGGGGGTGGGGAGCAGAGTCTTAACCTCCATGTGCGTACTGCGATGATCTTCACCTGATAAATTTTTGATGTTAGGCGAATCTTGCAGGGATTGAACCTGTAAGATCTCTGGTATATCACAGTTGCGGGGTTTTTCAAGAAGAGTCGAGACATTGCTTTTCACGGTGCCCTCGCGATCTTGCCACTGTGACCGTATGCTATCTGTACTTGGAAACAGCGCTCGAAAAAAAGTCCGAGAGGACCGGAGTGATGGACCCTGGCCAGTTAAGTCCTTGGCCCAGCGAACAGTACCCTCGCGTTCCACTATGCGATGGCGGCGACGTGCCCAAAGGAAGACAAGTATCATAGCAGTCAATAACAAGACTCCGCCCACTGTGGAAACAGCGATTATGATAGTTCGGCTTGTAGTTGCACTGATGCCATCAGTCGTCACCCATACCGTGTGGTTTGCGATCGGCGCACTTGGAAGAGTAGTAGAAGTTTCGACTCCTGAAGGCTCATTTACATCGTCCGCAACTTCCATACTAGTGATATTTGGGCTTGAGCTACAACAAAAGATAACAATGTAGATGCCCTTACGAGTAAATAACATAATCGAGGAGAGCAAGCGATGTAGACCCACCCGGGCTGCCATTCATAAGCGTGAATGTGTGCACCCCGGGATTGATTGTCTCGTTCTTGTAAACGGCGTAATGATAGTCGACTTGGCCCGAACCGGAGGGAGTGAGTTCAAATGTGCCGACAACCTCATCGTCGATAGCAAAACGCATATATGCCTGGGCATTAGGATCCGCTATGGTGTGGAAGACGATGCAATAAACATAGATTGCCGAGCCTGAAGAGGACCATCGATTCAGATGCTAAGCTTCAATAATACTTATGCCCACTCACCATTGAAAATTAATGATGCATTGAAAGGTGATTCGGAAAGAGAACTGTTATATGTGGTATCATGCCATGTCCCGTCGTAAGCCAATTCTGCCTCTGGATGGGCAGCACAGTCTGTACAATTCGGACCATAGCTCCACAGGTCCGATGGAGAATAAGTGATTTGTAAACCTAGTACAGGGTCGCCCAAAGTATCGTCGACAGTGATGTTCTGCAGCTTTCCTGACACAAATGTTGAACACGACGAAAGGACAAGAGAAATGGTTAGGACTGCCGCCAAAAACATAAAGAGTGGACTGTCTAGCCTCCTACCGGAAGCCTAGCACAACGAAGCAAAGAGAGACGCAGCGACACAGTCAGTGAGGGGATGGATGGAGCCTGGGAGCGGTTGCAACGATGTCGGGACCATATTGATTACTCCTAGTAAGATCAGGAAGTCCTGCCGCCCAACATGAGATACCTCAAAAGTCAGCAGCCATCCATCGCGCGCATGACACATCCCAAGACCAGAACCGCTGTGCAACATTGTTCAAGCGGCTATTTGAAGTCAATCACCTTGTCCCTATGCAACAGCGATTGCAAATAGCACCCCAATACTTCCATGTCTGATATATACAGGTACCAGTGGCCGATATAAACATGAGTATGCCCTCAGTACCAGGAGTATGTGGTGCCTGTTCGACCCGGTAAGGCCTCACTTCTCCCACAAACTCAACACCGGGGCCGATACAGTCGTATGCAGGACTGAAAGGGGTCGCAACTCACCTGGTATGATCAGATTTCAAGACGGTACAGCCTCAATTTCAGAATCTGATGATATGTAGCGGGCTGTTTTTGAGTGGCCAGCTGAGACTGAGGGATTCAGCCACATCTCACCGCGTGATAGATGCAGTCATCTATCATGTCAACAGCTACCCCCTTGAATCTCGTGCAGAATCCGTCCACGTAAATTGCCCCTTGAGTATGCCGCCTCGCCTGTACTCCATTGCGAGGCCACGAAGAATTAGTCCTGGTGAATAACCTGCTAGTGGTAGAATTAGTGAAGATGGAGACGAAAGTAGGCGACCTCGTCCGACATCTGCGTTCTCAACATGAATGATATCACGTATCAGAAAGATCATACTGTGCAGAGATCCGAGAGCACTTGCAGATAAGCCTCATGTGCTCAGCCAGACTACGAGTACGTGAGGGCAGGATCTCACTGTCAAGAGTAACTTATAAGGCAAGAAATTGGACACATATTATTACTTGTTTAGGGAGGGGACACTTTCTGGTCTCGTGATCAGACGCGACGCGACGGTGGCTGAAGCATTTAGCAGGCATGACGACACCCTGCTCCTCCACTCCAGAGTCAGCGACGTCATGCCTACCCACCACCGACTATTTTAGCCGCAGCGCATCCTGCATTGAGCCCACACGTTCATCGCCCACAGCTTTCACGACGACCATCATGTCCATCTTTCGCACTGCAATTACCCCTGCCATTCGCAGCTCTGCTTTCGCCGCGAGCTCGCGCGCACTTCATGTCTCGCCCGTCGCAGCAAAGTCTGCAACAGAAAATGTCAAAGAGGTCGCACACAAGGTTCGCACACCGCGCCCCAAGCAACGCATTAAATACTCATGCCATCGCAGGTGAATATATCAGTTGGACGCGGTCTGGCATCGGCTCTCGAGAAGGGTGAAGAAGTCACGGGGGCAACAAAGGAGACCTTGGGTGAGTTGAACGAGAACATCGCATTGCTAGATCATGACACCGTTTCTAGCTCCAAAGGTGGACAAGGCAAAAAAGGCGACCAGTCAAGCAAGTGAGAAAGCCAACGAGGCAAGTCAATCTTTGCGATAAACCCTCCCAGTTGCCTACGCTGACGCACTGTTAGACCTCTGCGGGCGTACGTGAAGGGGCACGCGACTTCAGGGAGGATGTCCAGAAGCAAGCACGGAAGTGAATAGATACCAACCCAGCTCTTGTTGCACAGCGTTACAATGACCTCGTCATATCGTAATTTTGATTAATTGATCACAGTCCGCCAGCTGATGCTGCCATCCTTTCACCGGACATTACATTCTAGAATAAGTGCTGTATGAAGTGGGTATTAATGCCAAAATAAGAAGATCGTCGGTGGAAATGAATGAATCTACGAGCGAAGAATTAAGTGAAACGGGCCAAATGTTCTATGATGCCTGTTCGCGAGGAGTAAACTTCATGAGGCAGCCATCCTGAGGGAAAAGAGTTGCAATGATCCTGAAATTTGTAGTGTGAGTACCAATAACGGGAAGCTCAAGTCGGGGCACGTACTGGACTTTGTCGCTCTTCTCTGTACGAACGTGTTCCCAGTTCATTAGAACAGCTGCATCCGCAAGAACCAACCCAATGTTCATCACAGCATACTCGATGCCGATGCACTTATGAGGTCCGCTACCGAATACAAGATAGTTTTTGGGATTCTGGTTGGCGCTGCCTTGCGGGTCCAACCAGCGCTCCGGTAGGAATGCTTCAGGTTCAGGGAAAACCTCCGCATCGTGTAATGAAGGGTAGATGGACGGGATCACCATGCTACCTACAGGGACGGTATAGTCGCTAGAGATGGGGAACGCCTTCGTCGTCTTGTACGGAACCATCGTAACGGGCGGCTTGACACGCATGCTCTCCTTGACCACGGCACGAAGATAAGGCATTTCATCCATCATCTCAAGCGTGACCGGCTTCTGGAAGTCGCCACCACGCACGCGAGCTTGCTCCTCCCGCAACTTCTCGAGAATCTCCGGATGATCTGCCAGGTGTTGGAAACCATAAATCAATCCGCTGCTCATCGCGTCCTGGCTGGCGAAAAGGAACGAGAACACAACCATTGCCATCTCATGGTCACTAAACTCGCGGCGACCCTTGTGATTTGGGTCCGCGAGTACATGCACCCATTCATCGAGCATACACCCTGGTTCACCACCTGCCGCCATCGCCTTCTTACTCTCGTGTGCTGCGTGTTCCAACCAGCGCATCGCGATCTTTCGTGCTTGGATCGCTCGATAAATCTTCGTGCCCGGGAGCGCGAGAGGGAAATTGACGAGTTCCAGAGCAACGGTGATTGTCCAGTACTTGTCCGCAATTTCTTGCGCGGCATGATCGGGAATGTACTTCCCACAGAAAACGCGAAGGGAAGTTACCATGTTCAGATCACGCGCAGGCATCATGATAGGCTTCGGCGAGGGATCCTTTGCTGCTTCAGCAAGCCATTTCGCGATATGCTCGCGCGTGATCTCGTCCTGGATACCCACGTAGACACTAAAGGATATTGAGTGGGGAGATTAGATCCGGTATGACCTCATGATCAAATACCTTTACGTACCCGAGAGCCTTGCGAGTGAACAAGGTATTGAGAATCCGACGATATTCAACATGAACTTTCCCCGTCAAGAAGACCCTGTGAGAGATAGATAAGTTAGGCTACAAAGTGCTACGGTGAAGGATTGCCTGCGCACCAATTGTCAGATAGAAGGACCTGCTTCGCGGAATATACAAGGCAGGGCTCGGCATGGTTCGGCGAGTTGAAGATCTTGCGGGCATATTCGTTTGTAGACGCCATGACGATAAAACTGCGTAGTGGGCACCACATTAATGGTCGACTTCCAGGAACAATCAGGACAATACGTTACATGTTGAATACGCTGACAGCACTTAAAGCACCGGATTGCCACTGCTTCTTGTAGCCTTCCATGGTAGGTTTAACGGAGTCGGCGAACTTGCCGATAAGCGGAATGGTCCAATTGGCACCAGGCAGATGGCGTTTCTTATATCGATATACCGACTGTTCTAGTACCAACAAGGCAAAGACGATAGCCAGGGTCGTGAAAAGCCAGTTAGCGGAGCCCGAAGACGATGAGAAAAACGCCGAGGTAAAAACCTCGTGCGTTGGATTGGACGTGTAGGCAGGCATTGAAGCCTTCATGGACTGGTCGCGGGCGGACGCCATAGTGGTCGGTCGTAGGGAGCACGTCGACTGAACTACTACGGATGGGCAACGACTTTCAGTCGCAAAGGCAACCGGGTCCTTTCAACCTCATTGGTTCTCAAATAAAATCGGTCGATTGTACGAAAAACACACGTGTATATTCCCGCGATCGGGATCCGACTCGGGGAACTTATGTAAGCGATAGCTTCACGTGACACAGGTCATCCAGCCAATCAGGAACCGAATCAGAGAATCTCTGCACCGATCTTCAAGTTCTTTGCAAGTGTGCCATCCGGCACCAAAACCGCTCCCTACAGCTTAGGATTGCGATGGTATCCTCTCCGTCAAAAGGCAACCAGCCACGCGCAAAACGCCCGCGCGAACAACCTGCAGCTTCTACCTCATGGCAACAACAGGCAATTTCAGATCATCCGAATTTACCTCCAACAAAACGGTATGCGGAATCCTCATCCTTGGCCGTGCGGTCGGGAGTTGAGCTGGGCCAAAATCCATCCCTTGACGATCTCACAATACAAAATGTTGACGGAGAGCTTGATGCCGATCTAGCAGAGCTTAGCCTCGGTCAACGACTGACCGCCCTGAATGGCAATGAAGATACAGCAAGCCACTCTTCCGAGTCCAGCGAGGAAGACGCAGCCGGACCAAGTCCTGCCGGCGTGACGTCCACAAAAAAAAGGAAACGCGATGCGGGCCTTGATGCTGTCCCCGCAAACTCTCTGACCCGCACATTAATTCAAGCATTGCATTCTTCAGATGCGCGGTTACTCGAGACTTGCCTTGCTCATTCGGACGCGGCCCTAATACGCAATACAGTCCGAAGACTCCCCCCACAACTGGCTGTTTCGCTAATCACGGCGTGCGTGGAGCGGTTAGGACGGGGCGCGCGGGCGGCCAGTATGAAGGGTGGGGGAGGAGGAGCGAGCTCGCAAAGGGGTACAACACTCATCAACTGGATTAGGGCAGTTCTCGCTACACATAGCGGCCATCTTATGACGGTACGTCCTCTTCACTGTGTCGCAGACCTTTTTAGTTCACATGCTTTGTGTGCTCTCCAGATGCCGGATCTAGTGGCGCGTTTGTCCGGTCTGCACGCGACGCTCACCACACGATTAGCACTTCAGGAGAGCCTTCTCTCGCTGAGTGGACGACTTGACATGGTCATCTCGCAGATTGAGATGAGGTCATCTGGCCCACCAGCCTCGTTGCCATTGCCAAAGGGTAAGAAAAAAAGGCATCATAAACGACAGCCAAGACGGTATGTTGAAGGTGAAAGTGAGGATGAGGACACGAAGAAGATGGATGTAGAAGTTGAGAGTGCAGATGAAGGAGGAAGTGTAGAGGACGTTGAGCTAGGGGGGAGTGAGGAGGATGAAAGCGAAGACGGAGAGACTGATGATAATAGTGATGAAGAGGAAGAGGAAGAAGCTGAAGAAGAAAACGACGACGACGACGATGGTGAGGACGATGAAGACGGACCGATGGCGAATGGTTTTATAGACGATGAGGCAGAGGAATACAGTGAAGATGAGGACGAGGACGAAAGTGAATGACCGTCCTTTGTTCAGCTCATTCTGGCGTTCTGGAGTTTTCCTCCTATGAATTTATAGCAATGATGTCTGATTTTTGCATAATTATTCTGTGGACTGGAACCTCGCATGTTTGTCGTCTCACGTTCCCGCCACAACTTTGCTAGTCGGAGTCGCGCTAACTCAGCCACACATGGTCAACGTCGTCAGAAACTCCAGCACCGCTGCCTCTATTCTCGTTCTGTAACTTCTGTTGTGGACATACCTTCCGCGAGCTCTCTCTTCAAGATTTACCAGGAGTTACTTGGCGAGTCTCCAACGAACGGGTCGATACGACTTGTCAATGGGAAGGCCGCTCTTCGGAACTTCGTCACGTCAGCGAGGCAATTCATTTATATATCCTGATTGCACTGACAATGTTTGTGTGTTCAAGACATGGCTGATAACCTACCCACTTCGAACGAGGCTGAAGCATCCGTTCCTTCACAAACTACAAATTCTGGCTCCCAGACTTCATTCTTAGACGTAGTGACTGGTTTGGATACCACTGCTTTGTCCTCTATTTTGACAACTCAGGCAAGAGAGAATAGGACAAGCCAAGCTACTCGACCTTCCTTTGGCGCAGGTTTGGAAAATCTTCTCGACTCGCAGGCCAGCTTTATACGCGCAGCAGGGGCCTTGGAGACTACTTTCGCTCGCGTCCGCACACTGCGAGCCGCTCTTGAATCAGTCAGGACTCGTATGGCGCCTCCGGATCACTCGACGACATCGGCCGTAAGCTCCACTTCCAGATCCCAAATGGGACCCGACCACTATGCCATTGTTCTTTCTGCTCCAGAACTGGAACGCTTGCAGAACGACCCCACTTCCATCGCTACGCTGCATGACCTCAGTCCGCCACTCCGGTCTCGAAGCAATGCTGAACGTTTAGGGACCCCAGACCCGAGCCTCGACCCAGATGGAGGAATCACGAGAGCGCTAGAAGAGGTCAATGAGCTGCAACGTAGAGTGGAATCTGGAGAGCCTTTCAACCTTGACCCATTCCCCGTACACCCTCGCCCTTCCCGGCTCTCCACATTTCGATTCGGTCCGCGACCTGAACCTTCACAGACGCAATCGCAATCGCAGTCTCGGCCTGCTGCAATTGTTTTAGAATCTTACGTTCGCTCGAGCCGGGAGCGAGACTTGGCCGATTCTTTTACCACTACCGGCAGGCGTGTTGCAGCGCGAGAAGCCGGCCCATCGACCGTTACTAGGATGGCCGAACGCACTAGCCCTGACCTTGCACAAAGGATAATGGAAATCGCTACCAATCTACAACGCGATATCAGGCTGATCGCTGAACACAATGAACACATGAATGCGCTAGTCAGTCGTGCCCGTTCCACCAGTGTCCCACCTGGTGCCCAGGCAAATAGGACGGGACCTCTCGAGAGCACAGGACACGAGAATGTTGGACGGGTGCCGGTTAGTGTCCACAGTAACACAGTGGAATCAGGTTGGAGAAGCGTGTCCCCTCAACTTCCGCGGATGCGCATGTCGACTGGTGGTCGCCGACCTTCTCGTCTCACAACTTCTTCGCGACCAGCTACCTCTGGAGTTCAGTCAACCACGGTTGACGCTACGGGTAGAGATTCTTGGACAATGTCACAGCTGTATCAGTCGGCCGACACACTCCCAGTAGACAATACTTCTCGCACGTCCGACACGAGCTATCGGGTCCGCCGTTTCTATAATGCTGATGGGGAAGAACAGGTACACAACATCACATTGGATGATTCAGAGGATGATGATCCATATAGCTGGTTGCTACCTAGTCAACGGGATGATATCCGAGGAGAATTCCGGCGTGCGACGAGAGTTCGCCGCGAGCAAACGCGTGGTCCCTTCGGGGGACCTGTGTTCAATAGTGTCGAACCTGCATTAGGCACAACATATGCTGAGCGTCGAAGAAATGAGAGGTCAGAGAGAGTACATCAAAATGTTTCGCAATCTATGAGCGGAAGCTTGCCAACGAGCAGACATCGTAGACGCGGATGGGGTATGCAATTCTACTCAATAGTTCATTGCAGTTGTGATAATGCGTTTACAGCTCGCATTGATACGGATGGAAATGAGGTACCAACCGACGAAGAAGAGGAATACGAACGGAACCGTTCTCAGATGCGGGTGCGAGCTCTTCAGTTACTGAGCGGACAAGTCCCACAGCGCACAGACCGACCTCCGCCACAAGTTCCTGAACCACCTTCGTCGCGGCGACGGCCATCCTTCGTCCCAACGACTCAGACGCTGCTGTGGCCGACGCCGATCGACTCTCATGTGCGGGTAAGAATGCCCCTCACAGACGCAGCCTCTGTTGTGGACATCCAAAGACAGTTTACCCCGCGCGATGAGACGGAGTACGAATTTGCGAACGCTGAACCCCTGTCCACCTCTCAACACATTGGGTCGGCCGTCGTATTTACTCCCAGCCCGCTTCCAATTCCTTGTGTCGATCTATCTATGACTTATTCCCAGCGACGTGATGTTGCAACTTCCGTCGGACCAATCGAAGTGCAGTCCCCTGCATTTGGGGCGGGTCGTTAACGTGACTCATCGCAAAAGCAGGCTGGGAGATGCACCCATGAACACACATCATATCTTATTGAGCAGCACGCTTGAAATACCCTTCCATTCATTCATTTTAGACACTGTCTCGTTTTCATGTGTAATCGCAACAATTACATGGTATATACATTATAACTTAGTGCTTTGCAGTGTCGAGCATGTCTTCAGTGGAATAATACGGATCTTTCCTTGAATGTATGCTGTACGTATTGCAAGTGGTGGACGTGGACTTCCGAGGACTGGAGTCGGACTTTCGAGATCTGGAAAGTACGATCGGTAACCAAAGGTCACCTGACACCTATTATTGTATTCTCTCGAAGACAGTTCCCTCTTCGGTCGAATCAACCAACGTTGAAGACGCTGCAGCTGTTCCGCAACACTCCTTTATCTCATCCATCGCGACTGTGTACTTCTAGCTTCTACTGTGAACGAGAACTCCCGGTTGCATCCACTCATACTAATTCTACGGGCGTTGTATCGTAACCCCTCAGAACATGAACTATGTGCAGGCGAGTGCATTTCCATCCGATCTTTGTGTTATGTCGCTAATACTATCATAGTTGGAGAAGCTAGGTAAATGGCATCACTTCATGTCCTGCTGCGTGACACTTATAAACTTGAAGGCGAGGGTACATATGCCACAGTGTACAAGGTGTGTGATAAAAGGTTTTTTTAATCGAGGATGGCGAGTACTTAATCTTCCGAAGGGAAGATCACGGACCACCAACGAAATTGTGGCACTTAAGGAAATCCACCTCGATGCAGAGGAAGGCACTCCTTCCACTGCGATTCGCGAGATTTCCCTCATGAAGGAACTCAAACATGTCAACATTGTCCGGCTTTACGATGTCATACACACCGAAACCAAACTTGTCCTCATCTTCGAGTTCGCCGACCGTGATTTAAAGAAATACATGGATGTACATGGCGATCGTGGCTCACTCGAACCGAACACTGTCCGAAGTTTCATGTATCAGCTCCTCAAGGGCACTGCCTTTTGTCACGAGAACAGAGTACTCCATCGGGATCTTAAACCACAGAATTTGCTCATAAATCGAAAAGGGGAGCTGAAGATAGGCGATTTTGGTTTGGCAAGAGCATTCGGTGTACCCGTAAATACTTTCTCAAACGAGGTGCGTCTAATAATTTCCGAACCACCTTCCCGTCTCATTTGCACTATTCAGGTTGTTACACTATGGTATCGTGCGCCCGATGTTCTGATGGGCTCTCGGACATACAGCACCTCAATTGACGTTTGGTCATGCGGATGCATATTTGCTGAGATGATATCCGGTGTACCACTTTTCCGTGGCAGGGACAACCAAGATCAACTGTTACACATCATGCGTATTATTGGTACGCCCGACGAGCGTATCCTGCGTAAAATTGCGACGGAAGGAGTACGTGTTGCATGTCTACGTCCCTGCTTCAGACTAACGCTCAGCTGTACAGCAAACGGAAAGTGCTTCTCAGCTGAAACAGTATCCACGATACCCGAAGATACCTTTCCAACAAGTATTACCTAAGGCTTCCCCTCAGGGTACGCATCGAGGATCGCATCTTCTCGCATCTTCTAACATTGGATGCCTGTAGCGATTGATTTACTCGAACGTCTCCTCCAATTTGATCCCTCTAAGCGCATCACGGCCGCTGAAGCGCTCTCCCATCCCTACTTCACTGGCTCGGTCCAATATGGCATCCCAGCGCCCGTGCCCGGGTCTATGGCACCACCGACATACAACTTCCCTCACCCACACGCACATCAGCAGCAGCAGATTCAACAGCAACAACAACAGCAAGCTCAAGCTCAGGCGCAGGCGCAAGCTCAGGCTCAGGCTCAGGCCGCGTTCGTACAGGCGCAGACGTCCGGCATGGTGCATGGACAACCCGCTATGTACCCGAACCAGCAGGATCCAGGACGCATGACTCAAGCCCAAGCAATGGCTATAGCACAAGCCCAGGCTCAGCCACAAGCCCATCCTGCAAACTATCCGATGCAGTATCCCCAGCAGTACGCTGCTGGAACACGCTGATTGATCGTTGATTGCCCTATTTGGAAGTGGCCGTTTATGTTTCCTCTTCGTCTTCGAGCGGTCTCAATGTTCCCGTTTCAATCAGTTCACAAATCTTCCATGTTGTGCAATTTGTATGCCCATTTGTATCTCTCAAGCAAGCATAGTCGGATGTTAGATTTCTCGATAGTGTAATAAGTGTAATTGCCCCTGAATAAGGCGTTGTGTCTGTAGGTTATGGCGAAGATGCATTAATAGGTATTCTAGTGGGTCCTTCAAGATGAACGGTGACTTTTTGGATCATCTAGTGTATATTTCGTCCTTTTTGGCCTATCGTTGTGTGTAGGAAGGTATGTTGGTTTGCTGGCCTTAAAACGGCATATATGCATCAGCAGGAATGGTCGTCAAGAAGGTGTAGATGATAAACTGTCCTACCTTGCGTTTCTGTCTGCTTCTTTTCAAGGCAGGGGTAATTTCTCGTTCTGAATCTTCAAGAGGCGTCAAGTCACTTTCGCTGTCTCCGACATCCTGTGGATCTTTGAGCTGCAGGCTTGGCTTCGCTACATGAGCAACTTGAGAGTGAAGTTGTTGGAGCTCGGCAACAAACGCCGACGTCCGTCCACCCACTGTGACCCACTTGATTGTTGCTAGCTTGCCATCCTGCTGATTAAAGTAGTGGGTAACGTATGTAGAAGGAGAGTATGGGAACGGACCAGGGTCAATGAATGTTTCTGCTTTTTGCCTTTTCCCTAAGTTATCGGACCAGAGTGAGCATTAGGCATTCTTATAGGCTGTGTT